TTATTAGAATGTTTAACTTTTAGGTGTGCTCGTCCTTAAGTTATTTGTTTTTGTTATTTTATGGCCTTATAACATTTTTTTAAATTATTGTTGCTTTTCCACAATAAGTTTTCATTAAAACACGGCCTCGAGCTCAATAAAAATTGTTGATTATATCTTAAAGTAAAAAAATTTAAGGCATGCAATAAAGGAATACAACAAAACCAAAAAATGTTCTCAATACTATTAAATATAAAAAATTGCAGGAGTAAATAAATTCATAATTTAAAATAAAATATGGTATCGCAATTGTTTTTATATGTACATATTTACAAAATGAATCTTAAAGCACCCACTGTAACTCCTAAACCTGTAAATGACTATTAAGAAAAATAATGAATAACAGAAATCCCGAGAAATCTGAACAAGTAAATATGTCTAGAAAAATCTAAAGAGTAGCGAAACTGTATCTCAAAAATAAGTAATTTTATGCCAAAAATACAACCGACTTCAATGCTCATTCCGGTCGTTCCGGTTACGTAGACCCGACTGTCCTCCCTTTTTTTAAAATAGGCTAAACAAATTAGTACGTATTCTACTAAAAAGAAGAATATCAAGATACATATTTCAAGATTTTAAATAAAAAACTTCCAACTGAAGAAGATGAAATTCCGGAGTCGAGGAATACATACTACCTGTGCTAAATACTTACATAGAAATTTAGCATGTTTGAAATGTACATGCCTCTTTATTGAAAATTCTTAAAGAAAAATATGTTCTGATTCTTATGATATATCGAAATGAAATATAAATATATGATTCTTTTAAAATATCGGGATTAGAGTTACTGCTGCAATATTTCCACTAATTTTTTCAAATAAAGCCATTTCCAATATCGTGATTTCTGTTAGGTCTGGGCAAACTTTGCAGGGTTTGCCAGTAAGTGTCTTGAACCAGATGACCATTACGCACCATTTCGAGGGTGCGAAACGCAAAAAAATTCTCATTCGGCGCTAGGCAAAGGTTTGCAATTAACGTGTCTTAGACCCAGGATTACCTAAAAAGATCTGAGAACATGCACGGAGTTGTTCTTGGATTTAATCCACCGCCCCTTCTAATTCGACCAAACTAATGTTCTATTTCGTCTTGGCAGAGTTTCTGGTTCTTATATACACGAATTCATGGTTTGACAATATAAGCCACAAACGTCGCCTACTTTGGGTGTTAAGAAACCAGCCTTTAATAAAGGAAAACGTGATATCTCGACCAAATAGTATACTGCTTTTGTAAGTTTTTAGAAAGTGTTCCAAAATTCGCTCCGAGCGCGTTAAGTGATTTAAATAGTTGTTAGTCAAACATTTATTACTATAGTTTGATCGGAATTAATATATTCTTCAGTGGTTATTAATATTATATTAAAACATAAGCCTATAATAGGTGAGAAATTATTTAGTCTTAATATGCATAATATTTAATAACGTGTTCCAAAACTCGATCCGAGAGCGTTCACTATTGATCTTTTGATTTCAATATAGTTTGTCAAGCATGCAGTAATCAAGTTTGATCGTGCTCCAAAATTCGATCCGAGAGCGTTCACTTTTGATCTATTGTTTTAAATATATTTTGTCAAGCATTCAGTAGTGAAGTTTGATCAGAGTTTATATATTCTTCAGTAATTAATCATATTACGTTAAAATTTAAACGTATAGTATGGTAGAAAGTTAGAAATTATTTAGGGCCAGTTTTTCAGTGCACGGCCGTGGTTTTAACTCAGTTTAAACGCCCGATCGGAAGGTTTAACCCGCATCCATCGTTTGTATCAAATTGACGCAAATTTGGAAAACATATTAAAATATTAAGACAAATAGTTAACGTTTTGAATTGGTTTTTTGCGACAAATGCGTATAGATCTTTCAAGAATTTTTATTTTTATTATCAGAAACCCCAACATTTCATTGAATACTAAGGTCTTTTTCCATATGTATCAAATTAATGTACAACGTACTTTGTGTTACATAAAATTTCCGTTGGATGCGGGTTGAGCAAATATCAGGCAATCAAATGCCAGCGAGCTGTTCAATTTAAACTAAGTTTACTTAATCCAGTTTGAACTGGCACTGAAAACTGGCCCTTGGTCTTAATATGCATAATATTTTATGTCGTGTTCCAAAATTCGCTCCGAGTGCATTCACTATTGATCATTTGATTTAAATAATTGTTTGTCAAGCATTCAGTACTATAATTTGATCGGAGTTTATATATTCTTCAGTAATTGATCCCATTTCATCAAAATATATACCTAGGGTAGCCGCTGTGGTGTAGTGGTAAGCAGTGCGCTCTTTCACTCATCTGCACCTGGGTTCAAGCCCTAGTCAAAGCAACATCCCAAAAAATTAGAAAAATGTTTTTTCTTAGCAGCGGTCGTCCCTCGGCAGGCAATGGAAAATCTCCGTATTTCTGCCATGAAAACCAGCTTCTCATAAAAATATAATCGCCGTTCGGAGTCGGCGTAAAACTGTAGGTCCCTCCGCTTTGTGTGACAACATCAATGCACACACCACAAGTCGGAGGAGAAGCTCGGCCAAACACTAACATTTGCGTAAGCGCCAATCCATTATATTATTGATAGGCATATACATATGTAATACTTCTATATTGGTAGTAAGCTAACATCTCAATGTGTAAGCATTCCGAAATCAAAGCGAGACAGTCTAGTACTGTTTTTGTCAATGTATTGTGTACTTGAGTGCCGTTTTTGTAAATGTGTCGTGTACATGTTTATTTATAAACGTATGTGTTCCTTTTCTTTCGTACGTGTTTATTGATATATCTGTACTGTAGTGTTTTCGGACGGTACTAGCTCTTACTGCCAATATAGGAGTATTACATATATGGTGATAGGGTAGAAATTGTGAAATTATTTAATTTTAGCGTGTATTTTCTGCCAGAGACAATTGATTAAAACTGCAACTACTCGTGAAAACATACATTAAAAGCAATGTAGATGAAAGTATAAATATTATTGACGCGTATTCATAGTCCAGCAACTAAGTCGGAACTAACAAAGTTGCAACTTAAATTTAAGTACCAACCTAAAATTTACCCCTATTCATAGTCGCATTTCAGACTTCTACCAAGTAGTTTGGACTTGGTTTACGATATAACAAAACGAGTGTGAAAATGTATCGATTTTTCTCTACGATATTTTGGAAAAATTACATTTTTATTAAATAATGTCAAGGTTGATCATCGGTTTATGTAATTTTTATTTTCATTGCATGATTATGCAAAACAATAAGGTATAATTTTCTTGTTAATTGTGTGAAACAGCCAGAACAACCGCAGTGATGTGAAGTCGATGTTTATCGAAAGCATGCTGTGAAACATACAAATAGTAGATATCTAAATGTTATGCACAAATTTACTTTAAAAGCCGGTTTCTTAAAGACTGATTAGTGCATAAACGGGGGTTAATCGGTGTTTTGGTGAAAAAGCGTTTTTTCAATGCCCGATTAGCACAAATTCGTCGGTTAACAACCGATTAAGTTTACCAGGCGATGGCCACCGGTTAGCTGCTAACCGATCAAAAAGTGACATCTGACAGCTGTAAAAAACATCAAAAATTAATTTATTGTTATTTACACGCACATTTTTATAATTATGGAACATATAATTGGGCTTTCTATTATTTCCAATTTGGATTCGATGCGCGTTATAAGAAAACCGCGAACATATGGAGCGAAAGCAAATTTCTTTGAGGAATATGACGAGTATACATTTGTAAAAAGGTTTCGTCTTTCAAAAAAAAGTGCTCTGTATATTTTTGAAAAAATTCAAAGAAAAATTCGAAATTACACTCAAAGGATTGTGGAAATATGCTTTACATATGTATATTAAAAATAGCATCGTTTGTATTAATAAAATTCGTTTTACAGAAACCACGCACTGAGCCCATTGGAAATGTAATTGCTAGCGTTGCGCTTCTATGCATCAGGAAGCTTTTTAATTACAGTGGCTGATTTCTGTGGAGTGAGTACGTCCACTGCAAGCCGAGTAGTCAAAAGAGTCTCCTATGCAATTGCAGAACTTTCGAGAGAGTATATTAAAATGCAAAAAAAAAGTGCAGAATTGGAAATTGTTAATCGTAGTTTTCATCGGATTGCAAATTTCCCAAAAGTCGTTGGATGTATAGACTGCACCCATGTAAAGATCCAATCGCCTGGTGGAGTAAACGCCGAAATATTCCGAAATCGGAAAGGGTACTTTTCGTATAATGTACAAGCAGTCTGCAATGCAAATCTGGAGATAACTGATCTTGTATGTCGATGGCCTGGCTCCGCACATGATGCCAACATTTTTAATAATAGCCGTATTAAGCATCGTTTTGAGCTAAATCAATTCAAGGATTGCTTTATACTAGGCGATAGTGGGTATGGTGTCAGTAGATACATGATGACGCCGCTTTTACATCCTAACACTGCTGCGGAACGGTTGTATAACGAGTCTCAAATCAGAACCAGAAATTGCGTAGAGAGGTGCTTTGGCGTGTGGAAGCGTCGCTTTCCAGTGCTTTCCGCAGGATTAAGAGTTTCGCAAAATACCGTTATGGCAGTTATTGTAGCCTGCGGTGTTTTACATAACATCGCGCGGCAAAATAGAGATGCGGATCCATCCGAAGAAGAGAATTTTACTGCTGAAGAGTCCACTGAAAATGCAATGGAGGCAGATGAATCCACGACCGAAACGCCAGGAGTCTCTTTTATGAGGTCGAGTTTAATCAGAGACTATTTTGCAAGGTTAGTTTATACATAAGTCAGCTCATTAAGCCACGGATAAATAAAGTAAATTATTCTTTTTTTTCAGTTTATAAAGGAATACTAGGAGTGCCAGTTACTGTATTAATATTCGAATTCGGGTTCGGTTGGTATTCGTACCATATACACTGGTGGCCGGATAATTAGAAACGATTTTNTTTAAACTTTGTATAAGATTTATAATAATTCGACGAAGTTCGAAAAATGGTAATCAAAATTTCAAACTTTTTATTTGGAACTTTTAGAAATAATTCGGGTATGCAGTTTTATAGCCCATTCATCTTTAGTATAATATTGTGCAAGTTTGAATTAGCTCAAAAATCTCGTTGATTTTTGAGAATTTTTTTTGTTAGCGGTGTTGCTCATTTTCTCTCATACAAAAAAAATGTTGAACACACTTTGTATGGAAGAAATCGAAGAAGATGAATGGGCTATAAAACTGCATACCCGAATGATGTGAATGATGTCCATTTTTCGAACTTCGTCGAATTATTATAAATCTTATACAAAGTTTAAAGCTTTGAGTTATTTGATTTTCGTTGTAGTATGCACTATATTTTCCTAAAAAAATAAATTAAAAATAATATTTACAAATAGATGGTCAAAACTTGAAAAAGAAAATCGTTTCTAATTATCCGGCCACCAGTGTATATGGTACGAATACCAACCGAACCCGAATTCGAATATTAATACAGTANAAATTATGAAATAAGTAAACGACCAAAATCGTCGAAAACTATACAGTGCTGCCAAGTTTTTCCGTTTTAATACACTAGTCGAGTGGAAATTTTAGGCAACGACGTGCAATTTTCGATACGATTCCACTCTCGAAAAACGACTGGCATTCGACACGACTCTCGCAATGATGGTGAATATTTACTAAATAACTACAACCAAGCGTAGCTATTCCGCTGCAATTCACTTGAACATGTGGTTGTTGGTTTTTGTTAATATTTCTATTATTAGAATGTTTAACTTTTAGGTGTGCTCGTCCTTAAGTTATTTGTTTTTGTTATTTTATGGCCTTATAACATTTTTTTAAATTATTGTTGCTTTTCCACAATAAGTTTTCATTAAAACACGGCCTCGAGCTCAATAAAAATTGTTGATTATATCTTAAAGTAAAAAAATTTAAGGCATGCAATAAAGGAATACAACAAAACCAAAAAATGTTCTCAATACTATTAAATATAAAAAATTGCAGGAGTAAATAAATTCATAATTTAAAATAAAATATGGTATCGCAATTGTTTTTATATGTACATATTTACAAAATGAATCTTAAAGCACCCACTGTAACTCCTAAACCTGTAAATGACTATTAAGAAAAATAATGAATAACAGAAATCCCGAGAAATCTGAACAAGTAAATATGTCTAGAAAAATCTAAAGAGTAGCGAAACTGTATCTCAAAAATAAGTAATTTTATGCCAAAAATACAACCGACTTCAATGCTCATTCCGGTCGTTCCGGTTACGTAGACCCGACTGTCCTCCCTTTTTTTAAAATAGGCTAAACAAATTAGTACGTATTCTACTAAAAAAAAGAATATCAAGATACATATTTCAAGATTTTAAATAAAAACTTCCAACTGAATAAGATGAAATTCCGGAGTCGAGGAATACATACTACCTGTGCTAAATACTTACATAGAAATTTAGCATGTTTGGAATGTACATGCCTCTTTATTGAAAATTCTTAAAGAAAAATATGTTCTGATTCTAATGAAATATCGAAATGAAATATAAATATATGATGCTTTTAAAATATCGGGATTAGAGTTACTGCTGCAATTTTTCCACTAATTTTTTCAAATAAAGCCATTTCCAATATCGTGATTTCTGTTAGGTCTGGGCAAACTTTGCAGGGTTTGCCAGTAAGTGTCTTGAACCAGATGATCATTACGCACCATTTCGAGGGTGCGAAACGCAAAAAATTCTCATTCGGCGCTAGGCAAAGGTTTGCAATTAACGTGTCTTAGACCCAGTATTACCTAAAAAGATCTGAGAACATGCACGGAGTTGTTCTTGGATTTAATCCACCGCCCCTTCTAATTCGACCAAACTAATGTTCTATTTCGTCTTGGCAGAGTTTCTGGTTCTTATATACACGAATTCATGGTTTGACAATATAAGCCACAAACGTCGCCTACTTTGGGTGTTAAGAAGCCAGCCTTTAATAAAGGAAAACGTGATATCTCGACCAAATAGTATACTGCTTTTGTAAGTTTTTAGAAAGTGTTCCAAAATTCGCTCCGAGCGCGTTAAGTGATTTAAATAGTTGTTAGTCAAACATTTATTACTATAGTTTGATCGGAATTAATACATTCTTCAGTGGTTATTAATATTATATTAAAACATAAGCCTATAATAGGTGAGAAATTATTTAGTCTTAATATGCATAATATTTAATAACGTGTTGCAAAATTCGATCCGAGAGCGTTCACTATTGATCTTTTGATTTCAATATAGTTTGTCAAGCATGCAGTAATCAAGTTTGATCGTGCTCCAAAATTCGATCCGAGAGCGTTCACTTTTGATCTATTGTTTTAAATATATTTTGTCAAGCATTCAGTAGTGAAGTTTGATCAGAGTTTATATATTCTTCAGTAATTAATCATATTACGTTAAAATTTAAACGTATAGTATGTTAGAAAGTTAGAAATTATTTAGGGCCAGTTTTTCAGTGCACGGCCGTGGTTTTAACTCAGTTTAAACGCCCGATCGGAAGGTTTAACCCGCATCCATCGTTTGTATCAAATTGACGCAAATTTGGAAAACATATTAAAATATTAAGACAAATAGTTAACGTTTTGAATTGGTTTTTTGCGACAAATGCGTATAGATCTTTCAAGAATTTTTATTTTTATTATCAGAAACCCCAACATTTCATTGAATACTAAGGTCTTTTTCCATATGTATCAAATTAATGTACAACGTACTTTGTGTTACATAAAATTTCCGTTCACTATTGATCATTTGATTTAAATAATTGTTTGTCAAGCATTCAGTACTATAATTTGATCGGAGTTTATATATTCTTCAGTAATTGATCCCATTTCATCAAAATATATACCTAGGGTAGCCGCTGTGGTGTAGTGGTAAGCAGTGCGCTCTTTCACTCATCAGCACCTGGGTTCAAGCCCTAGTCAAAGCAACATCCCAAAAAATTAGAAAAAGGTTTTTTCTTAGCAGCGGTCGTCCCTCGGCAGGCAATGGAAAATCTCCGTATTTCTGCCATGAAAAACAGCTTCTCATAAAAATACAATCGCCGTTCGGAGTCGGCGTAAAACTGTAGGTCCCTCCGCTTTGTGTGACAACATCAATGCACACACCACAAGTCGGAGGAGAAGCTCGGCCAAACACTAACATTTGCGTAAGCGCCAATCCATTATATTATTGATAGGCATATACATATGTAATACTTCTATATTGGTATTAAGCTAACATCTCAATGTGTAAGCATTCCGAAATCAAAGCGAGACAGTCTAGTACTGTTTTTGTCAATGTATTGTGTACTTGAGTGCCGTTTTTGTAAATGTGACGTGTACATGTTTATTTATAAACGTATGTGTTCCTTTTCTTTCGTACGTGTTTATTGATATATCTGTACTGTAGTGTTTTCGGACGGTACTAGCTCTTACTGCCAATATAGGAGTATTACATATATGGTGATAGGGTAGAAATTGTGAAATTATTTAATTTTAGCGTGTATTTTCTGCCAGAGACAATTGATTAAAACTGCAACTACTCGTGAAAACATACATTAAAAGCAATGTAGATGAAAGTATAAATATTATTGACGCGTATTCATAGTCCAGCAACTAAGTCGGAACTAACAAAGTTGCAACTTAAATTTAAGTACCAACCTAAAATTTACCCCTATTCATAGTCGCATTTCAGACTTCTACCAAGTAGTTTGGACTTGGTTTACGATATAACAAAACGAGTGTGAAAATGTATCGATTTTTCTCTACGATATTTTGGAAAAATTACATTTTTATTAAATAATGTCAAGGTTGATCATCGGTTTATGTAATTTTTATTTTCATTGCATGATTATGCAAAACAATAAGGTATAATTTTCTTGTTAATTGTGTGAAACAGCCAGAACAACCGCAGTGATGTGAAGTCGATGTTTATCGAAAGCATGCTGTGAAACATACAAATAGTAGATATCTAAATGTTATGCACAAATTTACTTTAAGGGCCGGTTTCTTAAAGACTGATTAGTGCATAAACGGGGGTTAATCGGTGTTTTGGTGAAAAAGCGTTTTTTCAATGCCCGATTAGCACAAATTCGTCGGTTAACAACCGATTAAGTTTACCAGGCGATGGCCACCGGTTAGCTGCTAACCGATCAAAAAGTGACATCTGACAGCTGTCAAAAATATCAAAAATTAATTTATTGTTATTTACACGCACATTTTTATAATTATGGAACATATAATTGGGCTTTCTATTATTTCCAATTTGGATTCGATGCGCGTTATAAGAAAACCGCGAACATATGGAGCGAAAGCAAATTTCTTTGAGGAATATGACGAGTATACATTTGTAAAAAGGTTTCGTCTTTCAAAAAAAAGTGCTCTGTATATTTTTGAAAAAATTCAAAGAAAAATTCGAAATTACACTCAAAGGTTTGTGGATATATGGTTTACATATTTATATTAAAAATAGCATCGTTTGTATTAATAAAATTCGTTTTACAGAAACCACGCACTGAGCCCATTGGAAATGTTATTGCTAGCGTTGCGCTTCTATGCATCAGGAAGCTTTTTAATTACAGTGGCTGATTTCTGTGGAGTGAGTACGTCCACTGCAAGCCGAGTAGTCAAAAGAGTCTCCTATGCAATTGCAGAACTTTCGAGAGAGTATATTAAAATGCCAAAAAGCAGTGCAGAATTGGAAATTGTTAATCGTAGTTTTCATCGGATTGCAAATTTCCCAAAAGTCGTTGGATGTATAGACTGCACCCATGTAAAGATCCAATCGCCTGGTGGAGTAAACGCCGAAATATTCCGAAATCGGAAAGGGTACTTTTCGTATAATGTACAAGCAGTCTGCAATGCAAATCTGGAGATAACTGATCTTGTATGTCGATGGCCTGGCTCCGCACATGATGCCAACATTTTTAATAATAGCCGTATTAAGCATCGTTTTGAGCTAAATCAATTCAAGGATTGCTTTATACTAGGCGATAGTGGGTATGGTGTCAGTAGATACATGATGACGCCGCTTTTACATCCTAACACTGCTGCGGAACGGTTGTATAACGAGTCTCAAATCAGAACCAGAAATTGCGTAGAGAGGTGCTTTGGCGTGTGGAAGCGTCGCTTTCCAGTGCTTTCCGCAGGATTAAGAGTTTCGCAAAATACCGTTATGGCAGTTATTGTAGCCTGCGGTGTTTTACATAACATCGCGCGGCAAAATAGAGATGCGGATCCATCCGAAGAAGAGAATTTTACTGCTGAAGAGTCCACTGAAAATGCAATGGAGGCAGATGAATCCACGACCGAAACGCCAGGAGTCTCTTTTATGAGGTCGAGTTTAATCAGAGACTATTTTGCAAGGTTAGTTTATACATAAGTCAGCTCATTAAGCCACGGATAAATAAAGTAAATTATTCTTTTTTTTCAGTTTATAAAGGAATACCAGGAGTGCCAGTTACTGTATTAATATTCGAATTCGGGTTCGGTTGGTATTCGTACCATATACACTGGTGGCCGGATAATTAGAAACGATTTTATTTTTCAAGTTTTGACCATCTATNAAGATTTATAATAATTCGACGAAGTTCGAAAAATGGTAATCAAAATTTCAAACTTTTTATTTGGAACTTTTAGAAATAATTCGGGTATGCAGTTTTATAGCCCATTCATCTTTAGTATAATATTGTGCAAGTTTGAATTAGCTCGTTGATTTTTGAGATTTTTTTTTTGTTAGCGGTGTTGCTCATTTTCTCTCATACAAAAAAAATGTTGAATACACTTTGTATGGAAGAAATCGCTTAACATAGTCTTGCACAATATTATACTAAAGATGAATGGGCTATAAAACTGCATACCCGAATCATTTCTAAAAGTTCCACATAAAAAGTTTGAAATTTTTATGTCCATTTTTCGAACTTCGTCGAATTATTATAAATCTTATACAAAGTTTAAAGCTTTGAGTTATTTGATTTTCGTTGTAGTATGCACTATATTTTCCTAAAAAAATAAATTAAAAATAATATTTACAAATAGATGGTCAAAACTTGAAAAATAAAATCGTTTCTAATTATCCGGCCACCAGTGTATATGTACAGTAGTTTTTAGTTTATTTTGTTTATTTAATGCTTATTATTTTTTTAATAAAAGTCTAGCTGGTTATACAACAAACACCATATAAAATAATATTTCAAACTTTGTACAAAAANGCCTCATTGCGTAGGTCGTAAATTATGCTAAATTGTACGACTCGACAACAGTAGCATTGTCTATTGTCGTAATGAAATAAGTAAACGACCAAAATCGTCGAAAACTATACAGTGCTGCCAAGTTTTTCCGTTTTAATACACTAGTCGAGTGGAAATTTTAGGCAACGACGTGCAATTTTCGATACGATTCCACTCTCGAAAAATGACTGGCATTCGACACGACTCTCGCAATGATGGTGAATATTTACAAATAGATCGTTTCTAATTATCCGGCCACCAGTGTATGATATGTACAGTAGTTTTTAGTTTATTTTGTTTATATAATGCTTATTATTTTTTTAATAAAAGTCTAGCTGGTTATACAACAAACACCATATAAAATAATATTTCAAACTTTGTACAAAAATTATAAGAAGTATACAAAGTTTCACCAAAATTTCAAACTTTTTAATCAGATTTTTTAGCGACTTGAAACTTACACCTCATACACTATATCTTAAAGGCTACAAAACTCTATACCAAAATTTTTTCTAAAGATTCTGATTAAAAAGTTTGAAATTTTGGTATACTTATAATTTTTGTACAAAGTTTGAAATATTAATTTATATGGTGTTTGTTGTATAACCAGCAAGACTTTTACAAAAAAAATATTAAGCATTAAATAAACAAAAGACAAATAGTCAAAAGTGGTCAAGATATCGTACTGCTATTATTTTGTGGACAACTGTATGTATATATTAATAGGCTAACATAAATTTTGTAAGATCCATACCTTCAAAAGCAATTTCATAATATAAACAAAATTCTGATTTGTAGACAATTTATTTATTTTATTTCCTATTACTAGACTATATGTTATCTACATAGATATACATATGTATTTGTAATATACATAAATATGTACATATATGTAAGTATATTCGAGTGCATCACTCTTCATAAAAAAATCGGCACTGTTTTTCCATTGAACCCATTTGGAATATACAGCCAGCACCAACAATGCGCAATAATAGTGTAAATAAATAAAAATCATCGAAACATCTGCGTATGCATACTCTTGACACTGAAAATACCTTCCAAATGAGTTTTATATAAATAAAATTAAATAATAATTNCATTTGTAATATACAAAAATATTGTTACGATTATCCTTGAACCCTCGTCCGGATTACCCAAATCTCTCGGTTCGTATCGCTGGATTGTTAAATAAATGCTAACGATGACCAAATTGTAGTACAATTAACTTTATTGTACAACAAACAATTTACAATACTCGCTAATACAGTAAAAACACTTTACAATACTTGTTAAAGCAATAACAGCACTTAACTAAACTTGGTAACAAAATTAAACTTATATCTTGCTTATTGGCAACTCACTTCTCTGCTCACTTTACTTGTAGCTTGTTGTCTTGTAACTAACTCACCTCGCTGTGGCAGCGCCCTTATATACCTGCGCTGGCACTTATGGCAACTCTAGAACATTCTGAAGTTTATCGCTCATTCTCTTTCTCTCGCTGTTCGCAGTGTTCATCCAACTTGACGTTTCTCTTTGTGGAACATTCTACGTCATTCTTCGAACATTCTGCCTATTTCTCGTTGTTCGCTTTGTGTTGCCGCAGTATTCGCCACACTGCCCTCCACCTAAGTCTGATCGTCCCGATCAGACACACTTGCCGCTCCAACCGCTGCAAGTCTTTCCAAGTGGACCACTTTCATCTTGGTCCTCGGTCTCCCCATTGTCTGGATTTGATGCACTGCGTCCTTCAGCCGTTTGTCAATCTTCAACGGATCTTTCCAGTCAAGTCTTTGCTTGGAGGTAAAGCTTTTCTTCTGCTGCGACATGTACAACAACAGTGCGTTACTGGACATTGCTTCCGGCTTATCTCCGGGAGTGCACCATCTCACATGGTCGTGCTTCTGCCGGCCACTGGTGGTGACCAGACCATGTCTCTTCTCGTGGGCACCCTTTTCGGATCTATGCCGGATCATCTGTCCCTGACACCCTGACTCCCGCCTTCGCGCTGCACTGCCTTTAGCACATCTTGCTACATCCGGATCCTTACGCTGAAGCTTCCGCCGTCGTTTCGTATCTCGCTCTTCCGCCGATGCTAACTTCATTGACCGGACATGTATAATCTCACCCTTGGCTTCCGGCTTAACTGCTCGCTTTTGCCGACCACCTTTTTCAGGACACTTCAAAGCGCGCCTACTGCTACCACAGCCGCTTCCATTTCCGGCCACCGGCGTATCACCATTGCAACGTGGTTCAGTGGCTTTCCTCCTGCCGGAAACACTGCCTGGCTCGCCATGACCACTTCCTTGTTGCGACCTCTTCTTCACTGAGCTAGCGGAACCGTCACGCTTTTCCTGTATCAGTGAACCGCTTCCTCCTCCTGATGAAACCACTCCGTCTCCGTCACTGCCAACCTCCGCCCAACTAACCGCTTCCGTTTCCGGTGGAATTGTCGACACTTCCTCTAAGACTAACCGTCTAAGTGGCACTTTCCTGTGACGATCTGTCAGGATCATTCTCTGGAGGTCAATCTTCATGCCTTGGCCAAGAAGAAATCCACGCCGATGATGACTTCATCCACAATGTCTGCCACTATAAACTTGGTGTACGAGGCCCAACCGTCGATTATTACCTCGGATGGTACTTCTCCCAACACTTGGGTGCATTCACCAGTTGCAGTCTGCAGCTTTGCTCCAGGTAGTGGCTTCACATAAAAAGTGGCCAAATCCGGTCGAATAATGGAATGTGTCGCTCCAGTATCCACTGTCAGTACTCTCTCCTGCCCATTCACACATCCACCAATAGTGAGGTTGCTCGCATTCCGGCCAATTTGTGAGACGGAGATTATGGGCCCTTCAACTTCTGGGGCCAGCACGCGGCCCTTCCTGCTGGCTCGTTTCAGTTTAACGACTGATTGGAGTTGGATTCGTCTCCTTCAGTCCTGCGTTTGCGTCCTGCTGAATTGTTGAGCGCACTGGAGCTTGCGCTGCAATCGCGGGCGAAGTGGCCTGGCTTTCCACATTTAAAATATTTGCCAGAGCCATGCTTTTTCTCACCCATCAGTTGGATTAGCTTCTTCAGCATTTCCTTTGTCTCGTCCGATGTCTCCACTTCTACGCGATGTTTTTTGTAGGCGGGTCTACTTAGGAGCGCCGCCGTTTCACGCGTCTGAGCATACGAGACAGTTTCAGCAAATGTTGGCTTGGGATTCGCGTACGTCTCTCGCTTGGTATACACGTCCCGCATTCCGTTGATGAACCTCTGGATTTTTACTCTTTCGAGGTGCTCACCGGATGCATCTCCAATTGCCAAATGAGCCAACCTTTCAATCTCGGAGGCGAATTCCTGTAAAGTCTCGTTGGATTTCTGGCAGCGATTCTCCAACTGCATCTGGTAAATCTGTCTCCTGTGCTCGCTACCATAACGTCTTTCCACTGCACCCATTAACGCATCGTAACTGTTCCTTTCACAATCATGAATAGTCTGCAAGATTTCCGCTGCAGGTCCTTTTAATGCAACGAACAGTGCAGCGGATTTATCCTCCATGCTCCAGTGATTTGCTGTAGCTGTCTTCTCAAACTGGAGCTTAAAGACCTGGAAAGGAATTGTGCCATCAAAGGATGGAGTCTTTACCTTGGGAGCGTTCGTCGGATTAGCTGGACGATTCAACTGCAAACCCCGGAGACGATCTTCAAGCTCATCCACCTTAGCTTCGACTTTGTCCTGTTCTTCCTTAATAAGCGCTTCGATCTTATCTTGTCGTTCCTCGATTTTATCCTGTCTCTCTCTGAGTTCCGAGTTATTTTTGAATAAATTCTCTTGTAGCTGAGTAATCTTTTCATCTAGCTGCGATGATATGCGTGTTTCCTGCACTTGCAACTGGGATGAAATCTGCGATGACATCTGTGACATGGCAGCCAATAACGTGTTCATGTCCATAGCTGTTGATGAACTTGGGGACTTTTGCTGTTCTTCAACCTTCCCGGATGTCTGCTGCACTTCCTTCGACGAACAAGCGGCCTCATCCGTCTGTTCATCCTTTGCGGATGCATCGTCGAGTTTACGCTGGAAGTCGTATTTGTCCACGTCGATGCCTTCTGCTTCCATAGCCTCCCGCAGCCGTGATAGTAACTCCACTTTTCTTCCGGAGGTTGTTAAATTTCGCTTCTCCAATTCCTGTTTGAGTTCCTCAATCTTTAAGTCCTGAATTTTCGCCATTTTCAGTAGTTTATCCTTCGGGATTTATTTAACAATCCCACTTCTGACACCAATTGTTACGATTATCCTTGAACCCTCGTCCGGATTTCCCAAATCTCTCGGTTCGTATCGCTGGATTGTTAAATAAATGCTAACGATGACCAAATTGTAGTACAATTGGCCCGTGGTCATAGTCAAAATAAAGTCGACTTTAAAGTTAGTTGCAGCTTTTTGACATAATTTTCAATGGGATATCTGTCAAAAAAGCTGCAACTAACTTTAAAGTCGACTTTATTTTGACTATGACTACGGGCCATTAACTTTATTGTACAACAAACAATTTACAATACTCGCTAATACAGTAAAAACACTTTACAATACTTGTTAAAGCACTTAACTAAAGTTGGTAACACAATTAAACTTATATGTTGCTTATTCGCAACTCACCTCTCTGCTCACTTTACTTGTAGCTTGTTGTCTTGTAACTAACTCACCTCGCTGTGGCGGCGCCCTTATATACCTGCGCTGGCACTTATGGCAACTCTAGAACATTCTGAAGTTTATCGCTCATTCTCTTTCTCTCGGTGTTCGCAGTGTTCATCCAACTTGACGTTTCTCTTTGTGGAACATTCTACGTCATTCCTCGAACATTCTGCCTATTTCTCGTTGTTCGCTTTGTGTTGCCGCAGTATTCACCACAATATGTACATCTATGTAAGTATATTCGAGTGCATCACTCTTCATAAAAAAATCGGCACTGTTTTTCTAACGGAGTTGTAAATTTTATTATATTTTAAGACTTTCGCCAAAATATTTCGTAAAATATAAAGATTTACATGAGCTGAACCCATTTGGAATATAAGGCCAGCATCAACAATACGCTATGCAATAATGCAAGAAATTTTCAACTTTTCATTTCGATTCCTTAGAAACATTTTGGGTAATCAGTTTTGTAAATTTTAATATAATAAAGGGCAAGTTCAAAGTCGTTAAAAATTAACGTTGATTTTTGATAATTTTTTGCTGCATTTTACTACACTGGTTCTTGCTGTTGAATGAACTATGTAGTAATCTTTATAAAAAATAAAATCAAATTTGATACAGAAAATATACATTATAGTGCAAAACTGAGTACATAGTGATTTCTGTTAAATATTTGCAAGAGCAGAGCTTAGAAAAATTCAACAAAATGTCATCCCAAGTGCGAGTCACAACCGGCTAAAAAATCGCGTTGATTTTTAATATTTTTTTGGTGATGGCTTTTGCGGGTTTTTTCTTACAACAAATGCAATTTATAAAATATGGCGTTGATTTTTTTTTAATTTCCTCGCAAACGGTCTTGCGCATTCTTTCCACAAGAAATTCTTGCTTATTTGGAAAAAAGCCGTCAGCAAAATAAAAATTGTTAAAACTCAACGCGATTTTTTAGCCGGTTGAGACTTGCACTTCACCAGACTAAGATTGTATTGAGTAAAAAACTGCGTACCCAAACATTTTCTAAAAATTCTGATTAAAAAATAAAAAATTGGGATGACATTTTGTTGAAAATTTTAAGCTCCGTATGAAAATAGAAAGTTTGATTTATATGGGTTTGGTTACAGCATATACCATATTTTTATAAAGCAATAACAAAAAAATTTTTAATTTAAAAAACCTTGCAAATATTTAACAGAAACCACCCTGTACTTAGTTTTGCTCTATAGTGTAAATAAATAAAAATCATCGAAACATCTGCGTATGCATACTCTTGACACTGAAAATACCTTCCAAATGAGTTTTATATAAGTAAAATTAAAAAATAATTTTCCAAAAGTACATATTAATGGTATTTCAGTCTTTCCGTATTAAATAGAGCCGATAGCAGAAAATGATAACGTTTCCGAAATTTTGGAGGAAAGCGTAACATAACCGTTTGGAATACATCGAGCCCATTGATAAAAATAAATATATATGTACGAAAAAAGCAACTTCAGGTGTTGATAAGGAACTCTTTCACCTTTCTAATTTATATACACTCTGTTGTGTATGTACACTGACTTTCACTTTGCCTGTTTTTTAATTTCATATCAATTTGTAAAAGTTCTAACTTCATCTCTGCTTCCGAAATCTCTAATTCGTGTTTTTTTTTGGCCCACTGATGTCTTTCGGCTGCTCTCTTGTTCTCATCTTCCCAGAAAGCTTGTTGATGGTCAAACTTTTGCTTTCCCTTTTCATTTTTCACCGCTAGTTTTTCTGATTTCTTCTTTTTAAGCAGTGTTGGGTTCCATGCGCTCCAATCGGTTGTAATGTCCTAAAAATTTTACATTAATTTAGAAAAATAATATAGAATAAATAATATTTAGAATATACTACATTTTCTACGGCCTCAGTTGCTTCAACAACTGGCTCAGCTGTGTAGCTTCTCATGGAGTCATCCAAAATTTCGGGAACGACGTCATTTTCTGCTATCGTCTCTATTTCATATGTAATGACTGAAATACCATTAATATTATTAAACATCAATAACTATCACGTGTAAACATATGTACAAAAAATCTTACCATCACTATCAAAACTGTTGGACAAGCCGGTTGCCGACTGGCCCATTAAAGCTGCTAGCCTGTCTGTGTTGGAGTCAGTATAGCTTCGGAATTGGCCACCACCTGTTTTGTACATTTCCCTTCTCTCTTCGGCTAGGGACTTTCTTGCTTTTCGTTTCAAATTTTCGTATTTTTCTCGCAAGTTCTTCGGCCCTCTTTTAACACCCATCTGGGCCTCAAACGCAACATCAATTTTCTCCCACACCTTTTTTTTCTCCTCGCAGAATACAGCATCAGTCCTTTTATTTTCTAAAATCATGGCGTGCTGCTCGGCCAAAGATATTAATAAAGTCTCCTCCGCGCTGGTAAAGTTTGGAAGGCGACTTTTTCTTATATTTGAATCCATTTTTGTTATTGTCCACAAAACACCAAGCTATTCCTGCGAGATTCTTTAAATTGTTAAAGTGCGTCCATTTTCTATACGACCATGTAAAATGAATCCAAAAGTGGTGTGATATTTGAAGGAATATGTGGGTTATCATATAGCCTATTCCCGTACTCCAGGATTTGCAGGTTTTACAGGAAGCTTTCCGTCCGCCACGTTCATACAAGTTGTATTAAAGGCGGAAACAGCTTTTCCTCTAAAACCTGCAAATCCTGGTTACGGGAATAGGCTAATAATTAACGAGCTGGTACACAAATTGGTAAGCACAATATCTTTAACACAATTGTCAATTGTGTAAAACAATTTTAAAACAAGAAAACTACAAACAAAAACCACACAAAAAAAACAAGCTGTGTAGTCTGCTTTTGTCGATTCACAATGCAACTTTTGTGAACTCTTTATGAAAAAATTCACAATGATTGACATAATCGGAGGTAAGCTAATCGGACTTTGGTGAAAACGAAATTGTCAATTAAAGATATCAGCGATTAACCAATCGCTGATTAAAAATAATTTAATCAGTCTTTAAGAAACCGGCCCTAAAACTTATAGCTTGCTTATTCGCAACTCGCTTCTCTGCTCAGTTTACTTGTAGCTTGCTGACTTGTAACTCGTAACTAACTCACGTCGCGGTGGCGGCGCCCTTATATACCTGAGCTGGCACTTATGGCAACTCTAGAACATTCTGAAGTTTATCGCTCATTCTCTTTCTCTCGCTGTTCGCAGTGTTCATCCANGGCGACTATGAATAGCTTTAGTTGTGACTTAGAATAGTTTCGACTTAGTTGAGTACTAAATGTGACTATAAATATGCGCCATTATTATTAAAATTTGACCCATATGTGTAACATTTTACACCAGTTATTTGAAGTAAATTGGAATATATTTTTGCATATAACATAGTTTCCATATAACTCATAAAGAACATATTTCATTACAAATATTTTTAAGATCACTTCGAATTGTAAAAATAGCGCTAATTAGTTATATTGAAGTACAAAATATTTTATTACGTTCATGTTTACTTATAAAGCGCATAACAATATTTTTCTCGCCATTTAACCGATGTTAAAGTTTTTCACTACGTTATTTTGCTGCACAGCACCCTGCATGCGGCAAAACAGTCGCTCGCAGCCACAAAAACAAACAATTTTTCTACTGGTATACTGTGCTCTGTAGAAAATTCGCCGGTATCCGATACTGCTACTTGTGGCGAAACTGTAGCGCTCCCAGAAGATCTAGTGGCTAGCAGCGATCGCATCACTTTAGTTGGCGTTGGCTTTGGCATTATTTCTTACCAAAATATTTAAATAAAGTTGTTCCTTTTAGGAGCGTGATAAACAAGACATCCTCTTTGTAATTTGGAGGGTTTATTTAAATGTTATTCTTACCCCGCTTGACAATACGAAAGGAAAGAAAAACTTTAAAAGCAAAATGCCCTTTTATACATTTAAGCTTGCTATACAGTTCAATGCGAGCGTGAGCGCAAAGCCAAGAATTCCATTTGTATTCTTATGGACGCTCACACACATCTGTAAAAATTTGTCGTTCACATGCTTTGCGTACGCACACAGTTGAGTGTAAGCTTGAAAAAGAAGCATATTAAGCATTTTAAATTAGTTTTTATTCTATAATTCTGAAAGATATTCGGCATTATGCTGGATATCGTCGTCAGTAAAACTGACGATACGGTAACTTTGGTATGCGGTTCATCGTCTTTGGCAGCACTGTCGTCAAATGGCGTCAAAAGTAAAGACGATGCAAAGAACTAAGCTTTTAACAACTAGTGCGCAGTTTGAAATTCTGGTTGCAGAATTAGAAAAAAAAACATATTTAGCTAAAGGTTTTCAAAAAGGTGTTGTTCACAACACATCCAAAGAAGATTGGGAGCTCATCGCAACGAAAATTAATGCAGTGGGACCACCAGTACGAGATAGCAATGATGGTACAAGGTAAATTCAAAATATTTAAAAATTGTTAATCTTCTATTGTTTGAAATTGAATATTATAGCCTATAACTTTTTATTATTTATAGGTATGGAAAGATCTGAAATTCAAAGTTAAAAATAAAATGATCCATAACAAAAAAGAGGCAAGATCAACCGGCGGAGGAATTTTTAATCAAATGGCATTGGCTCCACTTGAAGAAACCGTGGCAAATTTAATGGGATTTGAAGAATTGCTAAATCCAGCTGGTTCTATGTATGGTGTTGCGAACGAACCAACAAGTCCCCACTGCAACAGGTTGCCATGAGCCCATTCTCGCATCTTCACGTGCAACCAACTTAGCAGCAGCCGCTACAAATGATGATGAGCCACACAGCCACCTCGTAGGAAAGCGAACTACAAAGAGGCTAAAATGCACGTTTTTTAAAAATTAGTGGATGTACAAAGAACAGCACTAAAACAAATTACAAAAAATACAGAAGTGCTCGGTACCAGCGTAGACAATACCGCCTGGCGGAGGAACAACACAAGCTGAACGAGCAAAACGAGAAGAGGAGACTTTGAAGATAGATCTACACATAAAAAAAAAGACTAGAAATACTGAAAAATTAATTAGATAATTAAATTTAAAAGTAGCTAGTAAATTACGCACTGAAGTATATTTTTTTAATAAAATGAATTATTTTACACATATATGTACATATCCACAAAAACATCAAATTAAAGCGTTTTTATTGTTTTTCGAATTTGAGTAGCTTCAACTGAATCCTCATCTGCTAACTCCTCATGAGCATTTTGTACCCGCTCTTGCTGTATAACGTCCTCGTAGTCGGTTTCCATGTCAGTGCCATAATGAGCACAAATATTATGGAGAGCAGCGCATACATTTACTATGCGTGTTGCCTTTTCTGGCTTGTAGTGCAACTCACGTTCCGCAAGTAGGCATCGAAAGCGTCCTTTCAAAACTCCTATAACTCTCTCAATGATGTTCCGGGAATGGGCATGCTTTTTATTGTAAGTGCGCTCCGGACTGCCTTCATGCGCTGATCGGTATGGTGTCATTATAAATTGTTCCAGGGGATAAAAAATATACATATATAACAGTATGCTCTGATACAAAGAACTAGTATATTACCAAGCAACCACGAATTACGTTCACCCGCTTCGAAACGTTCTTGCAAAACACTTCTCAGCGCTGACCCTCCACACCAAAGAATCATGCGCGGACCCTGCGCACCTGGAGTCTACAAAGCGTATTTGCATTTTGTGATCACAAACCACCAGGACACTTAAGCTATAGAATCCTTTGCGGTTGTAGTACTGGTTTTTTAAACTTCTAGAAGGCCCTATTATTTTGACATGCGTTCCATCGACGCATCGAATTACTCCAGGAAAACCATTATTATTAAAGAAATGCTGCTTGGTTTCCAATTTTTCTTCCTGTCATATTCGCGTTGATCCAGATATCGGAAATAGTTTCTTCCATGGCGTTGACGGTTTCAGTCAGGGTTCTACAAACTGCTGATTGCGACAGTGATACATTAAAATCATTTCCAACGCTGGCCTGGTAAAAACCCTGGGCCAGAAATCGCAAAGTAGTTGCTAACTTAATAGCAGGCGCAATAGCCAATGACCGTAAGGCAAATATGTCTGTGTGTTGCCTACCTTAATATTCTTCGTTGAACCACCAAATTCCTGCTCTCTTCTTTATCGCTTGAGCTTGAAAACAACTCGTATCCCATTATTTTAACTTATGTATTTGATTTAAATATCAAAATAATAAAAAATCCAACTGATTTAACGCAATTTCCCACACTAATTACCCAAAATTTTTTAATTTCCCTCGCATAGGGTTGTCGTATTTTGCCGTTTCACAACGTTTCGTCTACATTGTCTGTACATCATACCAAAACATAGACGAAGCAATAGATGTGACGATGCGCATAGACGATCGTCAACGATGACGATGACGATACTCAGCATAGGGCCGATTTTAATTATTTATCCTTTGATGTATCAACTATTGCAAAAAGTTAGTAATAACGAAGATATTGGTCAAAATAAAAAGCTCACGCTCGCATTGAACTGCATAGCAGGCTTTGCATACAACGTTCCGCTAGATCTCACAAACTGTTGCCGCGACATCATGAAAAAATGTATCGTAAGAAAATCAAAAAATTTATCAAATGGATCACCATTTTTTTAAGTATCAAAGCCAAAGTCAAAGCGGAAGTCAAAGGGAATAAGACAATCAAAGAGATGTATAACTCCTTCAAGGAGGAAAGACTCCTCTCTTATGCAGCGTTTTAGCTACATTTAAAATGCAACATTTAGCACTTTCGAACATATTTTTTCGAAGAGCGTTCATGCTATCGCATTTAGCAAATGTACATTTACGCGAGTTCGAAACCGTATGCTTTTGACAAACGGCCGTGTTCCTGTCGCTTATTAAAATCCGCATCTCTCACGATCAATTCGCACAGAGAAGATAATGTGCAAAAAAACCCTACTGAAAAGGGAAAAAGAAGTTTTAAACAAAAAGTTCAATACAAAAACTTGAATTGTTTTAATCCTACCCGAAAATTTGTTTGTGTATATTTTCATTTGTCGGTGCTGTCAATTGAAATATCCTCAATTAAATAGGAAAAAAAACCCACAGAGTTGATCACTAATTGAGCCGGATATCTATCAGTTTCATATGGATGTTGAATTCGTGCAACTTTTCTTTTTCCAAATAATGTAAAATAATAAATGAAATCTCGATCGGCGATCACTGAAACGCAGCTAGCAACTGCATACGCGAAAAAGCAATGTTGCCACATTTTCTCATTAAACCATGTTCGAATCGTGGAAATTTTGGAAGATCACAGGATTGCTTTTAGCATTTAGTTTCTTAATGCAAAAATGGAGTTGCATTTAGTTGCATTTAGGTGACGAAATTTGTATGGATAAATGTACATTTATAGTAGCATTTAGAGCTAAATGCGCTAAATGTGCTTTTAAGCGTAAGCAAAAACAGCCCATTACTGGCTACCTGACAGCACACTGCAAGTTAACGTACCACATATTATATGTGCCTGCCCACGAAGCATGAGCCGTAGATTGATACACATTTGAGAACGATTGTCTTCTCCATCTAAAATTTGGAGCATGGCATCATCCAAAGTGGTTAGCTTTTTAAATGTTGGAGTCAAGGCAAATTTATACAAGGTGGTGTTGATGGCGAATTTAGATTTTCGCCGCGGTACTTCTTAATGTCAAAATGATGTGTTTGTTACAATATGAATTCGCCTTGTTTACAACAAA